TCCCTGTAAGAGTGGAGTCTATTTTCCACAGCCCTATGGCTCTCCTGAAAGTAAGCACCACTGACCTTCAAAGACAAACATTCTGGGGCCTCATCTTCCCAGTGCAGGACCCCTTGGCTGGGTAGCCCGATGTGGAGCTCAGACCCCTTGTTCCTTGTGGAGAACCTCTGAAATTGTGATTATCCTCCCATTTGTGGGTCACCTACCTGAGCATATGGGTCTTGACTATACAAACATCTCCCCCCTTCCATCATTTTGTTTTGACTACTTCTTCGTATCTTTAGTTGTAGAAGATCTTTCTGGTAGGCTTCTGGTTGGTTCTCATAGATAATTGTTCTGTAAATAGTTGTAATTTTGGGGTGCCCATGGAAGGAGGTGAGCCCAGGGTCTTCTTACTCCACCATCTGGGCCACTCCTGGCCTCAGGTGAATAATTCTTGGTTAGCAGTTTTCTTCTTTCAGTACTTTGAATATAAAATCCTACTGTTCCCTGGTATGCAGGTTTTCTGCTCAGAAATCTCCTTATAGGCTTATGGCGTTTTCCTTATATGTGTAGAATTTTTTCTCTTGTTTCTTTAAAAATTCTCTCTTTGTATTTAATTTTGGACATTTTATTTATAACATGTCTTAGAGAAGATCTTTTTGGGTTGAAACTTTTTGGGGACCTATGAGGTTCATGAAATTGGAAGTCAAAATTTATCTCCAGATTTGGGAATGGCTCAACCATTATTTATTTAAATAAGCTTTCTGCCCCCCTTTCTCCCTCTCTTCTCCTTCTTGGACTCCAATAATGCATAAATTGTTTCTCTGAATGGTTTCCCATGGTTCATGTTGGCTTTCTTCACTCTTTTTCATTATTTTTTTCTTTTTGCTCCTGTGGCTGAATAATTTAAAATAATCTGTGTTTTGGTTCACTGCTTATTTCTTCTGCTTGATTGATTTCTATGTTGAAGCTGTCTGTTGAATTCTTCTATTTGTTGAACTTCTCATTTTGTTCATGCATTGTTTTCCTAATTCTATTCAGTTTTCTGTGTTTTCTTATAGTTCACTGAATTTCTTTGCAGATTATTCTGTATTCTCTGTCCAACATTTCTTAGATATCCATTTCTTTAGGGTAAGTTTTTGGAGCTTTATTAGTTTATCTTTGTGGTGTCATGTTTTCTTGATTGTTCATGATCCTGTGGCCTTTGATGAAGTAGGGACCTCTTCCAGTCTTTACAGACTTTCTCTGTCAGGAAAAACCCTTCATCAGTTAGTCTGTTTAGAGATTCTGTGTGGGCCTTCTGATGGTTTCCATTCATGACCTTGCTGCAGGAATCCTCCAGTGAGTAAGTATGGTGCTTGGGTCAACACGTGGTCAGGATTCTTGGGTCCAAAGGGGGCTTCCTGATGCCTCAGTCTGTGGTGGTAGGTTGCAGTCCTGGGTCCACATGGACAGGCCTGAATCATGTGTTCATGTCAGCTGTCCAGGTGCCAGGGATCACTAGAGTGGGCTTGGTGACTTAGTCAATGTAGGTAGTTCTGGCATCTGGGAATGAGCCTGGAGACTTAGTATTTGGGACTTGGCCACATGCTGGACCCATGAGTCAGGGTCCATGGGAGCAAGCCTGGGGCCAGAAGAGTTGGCCTGTATCTTGGGGCTGTTGGAGCTGGACTGCAGGTTGGGTCAGTGGGGGCCCTCCTTCACTAAGGTGGCCTAGGAGCTTGGGCCCATGGGAACCCACCTGGAGTCTGGGGCCATGGGGGCCAGCCTGGTGATGTAGTAAGATTGTTGGTAAATAACTTTATGAGGTGTAATTTACATAACATAAAATTCACTCATTTTAAGCATACAGTTCAATATTATTTTTAAGTTTATTTTATTGAAGTATAGTTGATTTACAATGTTGTGTAGTTTCTGCTGTACATCAAAGTGATTCAGTTATATATATGTATATACTCTTTTTCATATTCTTTTCCATTATGGTTTATCCCAGGATATTGAATATAGTTTCCTGTGTGATACAGTAGGACCTTGTTGTTTATCCATTCTATATATAATAGTTTGCATCTGCTAATCCCAAACTCCCAATCCATCTCTTCCCCCCAATTCAATGATTTTTAATAAACTTACCAAGTTATGCAACTATCACCTCAATCCAATTTTGGAACATTTTCATCACCCCAGTAAGATCTGTTGTGCCTGTTTATAGTTAACCCAGAAAGGGGGTTTTAATATAAAGTTGGCACATGTATTAAAGGGGAAGCAGTGCATATCTGTGGGACAAATGTGTGTCAATATGGGAACCCCACAAGGGGCATGAAAATATGTTTATCTGAGTTGGTTGTTGACATTATCTTATTTCTACAAAGAATTACTTTTCATGATCTTTTCTTTGCTCAAATCTTGGGTGATTATGTGTTTTAAGAAGAAAGTCATTCCCTGACAGGATCTGTTCACACTACTATTTTTTCATGTAGTGAGCAGTAAATAGTTCTTACACGACCAAGAAGCAGTTATAGGCTTGCTGCATGGATAAGAAAGTAGCTGAGATGTTATGGAGATTTTTTGGTTTTCCAGTGTTATAGAAGAAAGAAGAAGGAAATAGACAAGGCAAATCTGGGGTCCATGAAAGAATAGGGACTCCAATGAGTTGACCCAAGATGGTACCTAGTAGGTGTCTACTGCTCTTCACACCAGTGCCTGATTGCTCTTTGCCTACCTCTGTGTGGAATTATGGATTTAATCTGCCTGAGTTTAGTATGCCTGAATTGTAGTTGATGTATCAGGAGAGACTCTTAGATGTGAAAAGAACTTTAAAGATCATCTATCTTGTAAGATTTATTTATTATTATCTTACACAATTGATGCCTACAGAGGGGAAAGGATTTTCTTAAGATCACACAATTTGTTAGTAGCAGAGATAGGACTAGAACCTTAGTCTTCTGATACTCAGTTCAACACATCAAATATACAGTGCCCTAGAATTAGAAAGAAGTCAGAAACAAGATTCATAAAATAAAGTCTTAGTCAATTAAAGACATCTTGAACTGGTTTTAATTTTTCTAGTTTCTTTGGGAGGAGATAAACATGTAATATCAAAGGGTTAATTATTCCAAATAAATAAACTTGCACAAATCCCATTTCAAAAATAGCAGGTGAATAATTCTTGTTATTTTTATTGGTATTTAAAAATGTTTCTTATGATAGTTATACTTTAATAAGTGTAAATTATAGGTTCTACATTAGTTTGATGAATGTAGATATATGAAATATACAAGTTGCAAAACATTTACTTTTAGCAGATTAAAATGTATTCAGTCTAATTATCAATCTCAAAAGATATTTCAAATTTAATTTTCCATTTTCCTTTGAAAGCAAACTACTAAAGAGGTAAGATTTTTAATACATCTTTAAAATGTTTTCTGCTTGGTAAAATTTTAATGAAATGTTTGCTTGTAGGCAAAGAAAAAGTGATAAGATATATTTTTTAAACAGGTTTTAAAATATTTGTGTGGTAAAAAAGTCGATATTTAACAACTTATTACATTAAAATTTTCAGTTTTAGTATTCTCTAATTAAAATTCAAATATGAAGGGAATATCCTTTGTAGAATGTGGATTAATATTGTACCACAATTTACTTTTGAAGACAACTGTTTTATGCTTTGCATATTTAAACCACATGTCAAGCTCTAAATTGAACAGCAACCAACAAAGTAAATATTCTGTACCATACCACATATCAGTGCAATACACAATGAAAGGTAATGTCGTTGCATACACCAAAATTAGCCCACATGAAAATTGACACTTTTGTCTCAAATTTATGATTTTCATTTTTGAAACACAAAGAGCAAACTCTGAAATAGAAATAATATTTATTTATTTATTAATAATAGCCTTCTTTAAAAAATATTTATTTATTTGGTTGCACTGGGTCTTAGTTGTGACAGGTGGGCTTCTTAGTTGTGGCTCACCTGCTCCTTAGTTGTGGCACAAGGGCTCCTTAATTGCGGAATGTGGGCTCCTTAGTTGCAGCACACAGGCTCCTTATTTGTGGCATGTAAACTCTTAGCTGCGGCATGCATGTGGGCCCTAGTTCCCTGGCCAGGGATCAAACCCGGGCCCCTTGCATTGGGAACATGGAGTCTTAACCACTGCACCACCAGGGAAGTCCCTAGAGATAATATTTAAACATTTTCAATAAAGGTAAGAAAAAGTCTTTGGATGGGTAACATCTCCTTTGCAAGATTGCTGAAACAGCTCCTGAGAGAGAGATTGTGAGAGTAGAGAGAGATGCTTCACTTGTAACTATAAATGGATGTAAACACATCAATTTTGAGAATAAATCATTTTAATATTCCATGTAAAATATGAATAATCATATGTGTAATGTTTAATTATTCCAATTAGAGAGTAACCAACACTGGGTGTATTTTAAAGAGTTTAGAATGGTATAAAATGGCTTCCTACTTCCCTACTTCTACTCCCAAAGTGCTGTAAGTTACTATTTCCCCACTATCAAAGTATTTATCAGGGCACAAGTCAAACAGCTGAATATGTTACCCTGAAAAAATTACAGTTCATAAGGTTGGTAGATACTTTTTTATTATTTCATGTAAGTTGATGTGTAGATGTGTAGTGGTAATTTTTACCACTTTGTCCTGAATAAAATTCCAAAATGCTGTTATCCTCCCATAGTTCTTAAAACTTTGCAAAATACTCATTTGAAAAATGAAGGCAGGGAATAGTTTTCATGAGAGGTTTTAGATAGTTTTACATAATAGTGGGAGTGTTGCTAAAATTCTCAAATTTAAAATATACCTATTTTCTAATCTCTTCTACTGTCACAATGAATTTCTTGAAGGCAAGGCAGTTCTTTTGATGTCAGGTAAATGTTTGTAGGGATTTCTACCCAATAAGATTTACTTTTAAGAATTGAGATGCATCTAGCAATTTCTATATTTGATGTAATTTGTTTTAGAACTTCCTAAAAAGTTAAAAATGCATAAAAGTAGATTAGTTGATTAGGAAGTATTGAATTGCAACAGCACATAGAAAGGCAACTAGTGCAAATCCTATCACAAGGATCAGAACAAAGGTATAATCACTCATCTCTATCTTGGGTTTTTCATTTTTCTCTTCACTAGGGTTGCTTCCTTCCTTTCCTCCACTGCCTTTGCCAGGCCCTGGATGTTGCTTATAGGCTGAGAAAAGAGCACTGGGGCTATATTGTCCCCAGAGCTCTTGTATCCCAGCAGAATTCTGATATTGGCATCCAGCGCAGACTTTGAAGCGGTAATGTGAATTTGTGAGAAAGTTGGAAAAGGAGAATGAAGTGTTCGGTCCTTTGTAGATCTAAATGAAAAAGAGTCAAAATTAAAATTACATTTTCTTACCAAAAAAAATAATATGGTATGTTTTTTGACAACAGGAAGCACGAATTAATCCATTCATTGCATAAATATGTTCACAACAAAAATAAAAGTTTACTGTTACTCTCTAATATCCTGAGGACACAGTACTGTTTAGGTAATTTTCTTCAGTGTAAGAAATAACAAAGACTTGTAACTGTTAAACTTTAATTCCATTTGGTTTGGAATGAGTTGTACATGTGGTCAGTGAAACCTAAAAATACTACATCCAATAGTAATAAGTTAAATAAATAAGTGAATTGTCCCCAAATAAGTATTATGCACATAAAGCTTTAGGACCAGATAGGACTTTTGGATAAGATTTAGTTACTTTAAACATCATAAAAGAATATTGAACTCTTTGATAAGAGCTCAGTCCCCAGCACAATATAAAACTATAAATTACAAAGACTAAATTTACAAGAATTTACCAGGTCAGTTCCTTTTTCACTGATGAGTTGAAGATTGTAAACTATGGAATCTCCTTTTATTGGCTCTAAAGACTCCCATTTGACCTCACAAGTATTGCTATTCAGCTGATGTAATTTAGGTGCTAGGAAAAAAGAATTTCAGTTTAAAGGGTTCCACATTTCCTAGATATCTTGAGAACATTGAAATCTCTCGTACAATTTTCTATGGTCATTAAAAGACAACACATGTAGGCTTAATCTAAACAATATATATTTATAATTCTCATTGTAAAGACTTTTGCTGTACCACCAGGCATCTTAATGTTTGTAATAAAAACTTAAAGCACTTAAAACTATCAGTTAATAATGCATATTTCATTTTTCTAATAAGATCTTATTACAACTTTTATTACTATGGTTGAATCCCTACTGGTATAATCTCTTGCATTGTATTTATATGGTGCATCATACATTTCGACGAATTTTCACGTACATTAATAATTTTATTTTAAGATCAGAGCAACTGAGTGAGGAAAGTAGGGCAGGATCTTTATTTCATGTTATTAATCTCTCTACATTTCAGGAAAGTGGGGCTTAAATATGTAGGAAGAGAGCAAGGTATTACTGTGGTCTAAATCATGTTTACTTGCAATATTTTCCAGTTAGCTTTACACTGAAAACCATTTCATAACAGTGCATGGACTCATGTATGTATGGATTAGAAAAACTGAACTTCACAACTGGGAAGGAAAAAAGCCTCAAAGCTTGAGCTTTCCTGACTGTACATTGGCCTCATTATGTATTATACACAGCACTTTATTTTAATGTTCCTATAAGGAGAGTAAACTCAGAGTTTTATAAATGATCAACTATGTACTAATTACCAAATATGAAATTAAAAATTTGTACAGAATATGTACCTAATACTAAATTTATGTAGTGTTTATTCAGGTTTAATCAGTGTAATCATGTTTATTAGTTGATGAACTTTGTGTACTAGTCCATTTGGGAAAATATGGATATAGCAAAGAACGGATAGCATGACAAAGTGGAAGGGGAACCTCAATGGGAATTAGGCGCCTACAATTGTAATCTTGGCTCTGCTACTGCTTCACAGTGTCCTTTAGCTAAGTTACTTATCATTTTGGGGACTTAGCTTCTTATTCTTAAAAATGGCAGTGTTTATAGTGTGATTGGCTGGATTAATTGATCTCAAAATATTTTAAAATATTATGATTCTGAAGAAGTAAAACTGTCACTGTTTGCTGATGACATGATACTATATATCGAAAATACTAAAGACTCTCCCAGAAAACTACTAGAGATCATCAATGAATTTGGTAAGGCTGCAGGATACAAAATTAATACACAGAAGTCTCTTGCATTCTATACACAAACGATGAAAGATCAGAAAGAGAAATTAAGGAAACAATCCCATTTACTATCACATCAGAAAGAATAATATACCTAGGAGTAAACCTACTTAGGAGACAAAAGACCTATACTCTGAAAACTATAAGATACTGATGAAAGAAATCCAAGATGACACAAACAGATGGAGAGATATAGCATACTCTTGGATTGGAAGAATCAATATTGTCAAAATGACTATAAGACCCAAAGTAATCTACAGATTCAATGCCAATATCAAATTACCAATAGCATTTTTCACAGAATTAGAACAAAAATTTTACAATTTGTATGGAAACACAAAAGACCCCGAATAGCCAAATCAATCTTGAGAAAGAAAAATGGAGCTGGAGGAATCAGTCTCCCTGAATTCAGACTATAAAACAAAGGTACAGTAATCAAAAGAGTATGGTACTGGCACAAAAACAAATATAGATCAATGGAAGAGGATAGAAAGTCCAGAGAAACCCACGCACCTATAGTCACCTAATCTATGACAAAGGAAGCAAGAGTATATAATGGAGAAAAATTCTCTGCAATAAGTGGTATTGAGCACCTGGACAGCTACATGTAAAAGAATGAAAGTAGAACATTCTCTAATACCATGCACAAAAATAAACTCAAAATGGATTAAAGACCTAAATAAGACTGGATACTATAAAACTCTTAGAGGAAAACATAGGCAGAACACCCTCTGACATAAATTGCAGCAAGATCCTTTTTGATCCACCTCCTAGAGTAATGAAAATAAATGCAAAAATAAACAAATGGGACCTAATTAAACTTAAAAACTTTTGCACAGCAAGGAAACCATAAACAAAGTGAAAAGACAACACACAGAATGGGAGAAAATATTTGCAAATGAAGCTACCAACAAGGGATTAATCTCCAAAATATACAAACAGCTCATGCAGCTCAATATCAAAAAATACAACCCAATCAAAAAATACAACCCAATCAAAAAAATGAGCAGAAGATCTAAATAGACATTTCTCCAAAGAAGACATACAGATGGCTAAAAAGCACATGAAAGGGTGCTCAACATCACTAATTATCAGAGAAATGCAAATCAAAACTACAATGAGGTATCACCTCACACCAGTCAGAATGGCCGTCATCAAGAAGTCTACAAACAATGCTGGAGATGGTGTGGAGAAAAGGGGACCCTCCTACACTGTTGGGGGGAATGTAATTGGTACAGCCACTATGGAGAACAGTATGGAGGTTCCTTAAAAAACTAAAAATAGAGCTACCATATGATCCTGCAATCCCACTACTGGGCATATATCCAGAGACAACCATAATCCAAAAAGATACATGCACCCCAATGTTCATTGCAGCACTATTTACAATAGCCAAGACATGGAAGCAACCTAAATTTCCATCAACAGAGGAATGGATAAAGAAGATGTGGTATACATATACAATGTAATAGTACTCAGCCATAAAAAAGTATGAAATAATGCCATTTGTAGCAACATGGATGGACCTAGAGATTATCATACTAAGTGAAGTAATTCAGACAGAGAAAGACAAATATAAGATATTACTCATATGTGGAATCTAATTTTAAAAAGATACAAATGAACTTATTTACAAAACAGAAACAGACTTACAGATATTGAAAACAAACTTATGGATATCAAAGGGGGAACGTGGGGGGAAGGGATAAATCAGGAGCTTGATATGAACACACACACACACACTACCATACATAAGAGATTTAACCAACAGGGACATACAGTATAGCACAGGGAACTCTACTCAATATTCTGTGATAGCCTATATGAGAAAAGATTGTAAAAAAGAGTGGATATATGTATATATATAACTGAATCACTTTGCTGTACACCTGAAACTAACACAACATTGTAAATCAACTATATGCCAATAAAATTAAAATATAAAAAATTATGATTCTGGGAGTATCATTAAATTCTACCTTTCCCTTTGTATCCATAATTACGTACTTTTGGTATTCTGTTGTTGAATATTTAAAATAAACCTTACTGTGGAATTTTACATATGAGTTACTGTAACTAAATTAATGTAACCTTCATTATCATGGCTTATAACACTTACCTTTAAGTGTGGCTGGTGGGGTTTTGGTTGTAGTGAAAGTATAGATACCAGACAGCGGCCCCTCACCAGCTTCGTTACATGCCTGGATTTTAAATTTGTATTGCATATATTCACTCAATCTTTGTACCTTGTGAGTCTGACAAAGTCCATGGTAAATGATAGAAAATCTGGAAGTGGGAATAGAGATGGAGGGAAACAATATTATTAATCAACAGTCCTACAGATACAAATAACTCTATATAGCTGACTTAAAACTGGTTTTAAAACCACAATATCCCCTAAATAAATCAACTTGAAGCCATAAAGGTAAAACACAAAAGAAAAATAATCAGGTTGTAAATATCACAATGTGAAGGTGCAGGTTTTTGTATTTCTTTGGTAACTCTATATTCCATAGTATTAATTTATCTTGTATAAAGGAAGAAGTGTTTCGGAAGAGGCAAAAATAGAGAGCTTAATTATCAGTAGGAATTTATGAAAGTATATCTAGCATGTTAATGGGCTGCTTTCACATTTATTATTTAATTGAAACCACGTTGGATTATAGGATTAAGATAGGAAATTTTGAAATTTTTTTTATTATAATACATGCTAAATAGTAAAAATAGTTTACCTGCCAGATCGATCTCCCATTAATAAATTGTAGCTTATAAGGTTGGAAAGTAACCCTTTGCTTGAAGTGCTACCCATTTCAGTTTGAGGCTCTGGTGCCCATAGACCACACAGTCAAGTTGTGGAGGCTCAGGTGGTACTGGCTTGGATTTTGTTCTTATTAATTGGCTAAAAGGGCTTATTCCATAATGATTGATAGCTTGAATTTTGATTCTAGTGATGAGAAGAAAAAAAATAAACTGTATTAATTTAGATTTAGAAAAGAAAATACATTTCTACATTTAAGCTAACCCCCTAGTAACTCTATGTCGGATATTAACCGTCATATTATACTACTTATTGGAGACAAATTTCTGAGAAAAAACCTTGAATTTGGATAATCACTATTGACATTTCTTGATGAGGAGAAGAAGCTGGCTCTTAGTAATGCCAAAGTTTTCTAAAACAATAGAAGTCTATTTCAAAGAAAATATTATGTAGGTTATATAAAACATACAAATGTATTGTAGAATTGCTCAAAAGTCTCAAAAAACATTTCCATCTACCTAAAGTAAGATATAAGCGACTTACTTGTATGTGGCATCAGGCTGTAGATTTTTCAGAAGACACTCTGTTACTCTATCAACAGTCAAAATTTTTCTGTCTCCATATTCAATATTATATGCAGTGATCGCAGAGCCATGGCAATCTGTTTCTGCCCATTGAATAGCAACGCAAGATGATGCCAACTTGGCAGAAACTTTGTTTTCGACTTCTTATAGCACTGTTACTACTGCTGGTACAGTTGCTGGTGTGGTTACTATGTCAGTTCCTCCAAACATTCCAACTCCAACTATATTTACAGCCTGAAAAAGTATACTCTGTTAGAGATTCATTATTACCTTGTTTATGTGTGTAATCCATTTTGTTGCATAAAAACAAAATAAATTTTCTTAAACTCAAATTCTAACAATATGAATTTTAAAAAATTGAGATATAATTTACATATAACATTGTGTAAGTTTAAGGCGCATAGCACATTGATTTGATACATTTATATACTGCAATGTGAAACAATATAGTTCTAAGATGCTGACATACACGCAGAAGTCTGTAGGTTGCAAATTTAGGAAAGTAAAGAGTCTAAATATGGAGTTTCCACGAGGCGGAGGGGAAGATGGCGGAAGAGTAAGATGCGGAGATCACCTTCCTCCCCACAGATACACCAGAAATACATCTACACGTGGAGCAACTCCTACAGAACACCTACTGAATGCTGGCAGAAGACCTCAGACCTCCCAAAAGGCAAGAAACTCCCCACGTACCTGGGTAGGGCAAAAGAAAAAAAGAAAAAACAGAGACAAAAGAATAGGGATGGGACCTGCACCAGTGGGAGGGAGCTGTGAAGGAGGAAAGGTTTCCACACACTAGGAAGCCCCTTCACGGGCAGAGACTGCGGGAGGTGGAGAGGGGAGCTTCGGAGTCGTGGGGGAGAGCACAGCAACAGGGGTGCGGAGGGCAAAGCGGAGAGATGCCCTCACAGAGGATCGGTGCTGACCGGCACTCACCAGCCCGAGAGGCTTGTCTGCTCACCCGCCAGGGCGGGCGGGGCTGCAAGCTGAGGCTCGGGCTTCGGTCAGAGTGTAGGGAGGGGACTGGGGTAGGCGGTGTGAACACAGCCTGCAGGGGGTTAGTGTGCCACGGCTGGCGGGGAGGGAGTCCTGGGAAAAGTCTGGACCTGCCGAAGAGGCAAGAGACTTTTTCTTCCCTCTTTGTTTCCTGGTGCGCGAGGAGAGGGGATTAAGAGGGCTGCTTAAAGGAGCTCCAGAGACGGGCGCGAGCCGCGGCTAAAAGCGCAGAGCCCAGAGACGGGCGGGAGACACTAAGGCTGCTGCTGCCACCACCAAGGGGCCTGTGTGCGAGCACAGGTCACTATCCACACCTCCCTTCCAGGGAGCCTGTGCAGCCCGCCACTGCCAGGTTCCCAGGATCCAGGGACAACTTCCCCGGGAGAACGCATGGCAGGCCTCAGGCTGGTGCAACGTCATGCCGGCGTCTGCTGCCGCAGGCTCGCCCCGCACTCCGCGCCCCTCCCTTCCCCCGGCCTGAGTAAGCCAGAGCCCCCGAATCAGCAGATCCTTTAACCCCGTCCTCTCTGAGCAAAAAACAGACGCCCTTCAGCAACCTACATGCAGAGGCGGAGCCAAATCCAGAGCTGAGCCCCTGGGAGCTGTGAGAACAAAGAAGAGAAAGGGAAATCTCTCCCAGCAGCCTCAGAAGCAGCGGATTAAAGCTCCACAATCAGCTTGATGTACCCTGCGTCTGTGGAATACATGAATAGACAAAGAATCATCCCAAATTGAGGAGGTGGACTTTGAGAGCAAGATTTATGATATTTTCCCCTTTTCCTCTTTTTGTGAATGTGTATGTGTATGCTTCTGTGTGAGATTTTGTCTGTATAGCTTTGCTTCCACCATTTGTCCTAGGGTTCTATCCGTCCATTTTTTTAAAAATATTTTTTTCTTAATAATTAATCTTAATTTTAATAACTTTATTTTACTTTATCTTCTTTCTTTCTTTCTTTTTTCCTTCCTTCCCTCCTTCCTTCCTTCCTTCCTCCCTCACTCCCTCCTTTATTTCCTTCTTTTCTTTCTTCCTTCCTTCCTTCCTTCCTTCCTTCCTTTCTTTCTTACTTTCTTTCTTCCAACTTCTACTAATTCTTTCACTTTCCTTTTTCTCCCTTGTATTCTGAGCCATGTGGATGAAAGGCTCTTGGTGCTGCAGCCAGGAGTCAGTGCTGTGCCTCTGAGGTGGGAGAGCCAACTACAGGACACTGGTCAACAAGAGACCTCCCAGCTCTACATAATATCAAACGGCGAAAATCTCCCAGAGATCTCCATCTCAACACCAGCACCCACCTTCACTCAAAGACCAGCAAGAGACAGTGCTGGAAAACCTATGCCAAACAACTAGCAAAACAGGAACACAACCCCAGCCATTAGCATAGAGGCTGCCTAAAATCATAGTAAGTCTACAGACACCCCAAAACGCACCACCAGACGTGGACCTGCCGACCAGAAAGACAAGATCCAGTCTCATCCACCAGAACATAGACACTAGTCCCCTCAACCAGGAAGCGTACACAAACCACTGAACCAACCTTAGCCGCTGGGGACAGACATCAAAAATGACAGGAACTACGAACCTGCAGCCTGCAAAAAGGAGACACCAAACACAGTAAGATAAGCAAAATGAGAAGACAGAAAGACACACAGCAGATGAAGGAGCAAGATAAAAGCCCACCGAACCTAACAAATGAGGAGGAAATAGGCAGTCTACCTGAAAAAGAATTCCGAATAATCATAGTAAAGAGGATCTAGAATCTTGGAAATAGAATAGACAAAATGCAAGAAATATTTAACAAGGACCTAGAAGAACTAAAGATGAAAAAAATGATGAACAACACAATAAATGAGATGAAAAAGATTCTAGATGGGATCAATAGCAGAATAACTGAGACAGAAGGATGGATAGGTGACCTGAAAGATAAAATAGTGGAAATAACTACTGCAGAGCAGAATAAAGAAAAAAGAATGAAAAGAACTGAGGACAGTCTCAGAGACCTCTGGGACAAAATTAAACGCACCAACATTCGACTTATAGGGGTCCCAGAAGAAGAAGAGAGAAAGAAAGGGACTGAGAAAATATTTGAAGAGATTATAGTGGAAAACTTCCCTATTATGGGGAAGGAAATAGTTAATCAAATCCAGGAAGCACAGAGAGTCCCATAGAGGATAAATCCAAGGAGAAATATGCCAAGACACATATTAATCAAACTGTCAAAAATTAAAAACAAAGAAAGCATATTAAAAGCAGCAAGGGAAAAACAACAAATAACACACAAGGGAATCCCCATAAGGTTAACAGCTGATCTCTCAGCAGAAACTCTGCAAGCCAGAAGGGAGTGGCAGGACATACTGAAATTGATGAAGGAGAAAAATCTGCAACCAAGATTACTCTACCCAGCAAGGATCTCATTCAGATTTGATGGAGAAATTAAAACATTTACAGACAAGCAAAAGCTGAGAGAGTTCAGCACCACCAAACCAGCCTTACAACAAATGTTAAAGGAACTTCTCTAGGCAAGAAACACAAGAGAAGGAAAAGACCTATAATAACGAACCCAAAACAATTTAGAAAATGGAAATAGGAACATACATATCGGTAATTACTTTAAATGTAAATGGATTAAATGCTTCCACCAAAAGACACAGATTGCCTGAATGGATACAAAAACAAGACCCATATATATGCTGTCTACAAGAGACCCACTTCAGACCTAGAGACACATACAGACCGAACGAAAGGGGATGGAAAAAGATATTCCATGCAAATGGAAACCAAAAGAAAGCTGGAGTAGCAATTCTCATATCAGACAAAATAGACTTTAAAATAAAGACTATTAGAAGAGACAAAGAAGGACACTACATAATGATCAAGTGATGAATCCAAGAAGAAGATATAACAATTGTAAATATATATGCACCCAACATAAGAGCACCAAAATACATCAGGCAAATACTAACAGCCATAAAAGGGGAAATCGACAGTAACACATTCACAGTAGGGGACTTTAACACCCCACTTTCACCAATGGACAGATCATCCAAAATGAAAATAAATAAGGAAACACAAGCTTTAAATGATACATTAAACAAGATGGACTTAATTGATATTTATAGGACACTCCATCCAAAAACAACAGAATACACATTTGTCTCAAGTGCTCATGGAACATTCTCCAGGATAGATCATATCTTGGGTCACAAATCAAGCCTTGGTAAATTTAAGAAAATTGAAATTATATCAAGTAACTTTTCCAACCAAAACGCCATGAGACTAGATATCAATTATAGGAAAAGATCTGTAAAAAATACAAACACATGGAGGCTAAACAATACACTACTTAATAACGAAGTTATCACTGAAGAAATCAAAGAGGAAATAAAAAAATACCTAGAAACAAATGACAGTGGAGACACGACGAACCAAAACCTATGGGAGATAGGAAAAGCAGTTCTAAGAGGGAAGTTTATAGCAATACACGGCCACCTTAAGAAACAGGAAACATCTCGAATAAACAACCTAAGCTTCCACTGAAAGCAATTAGAGAAAGAGGAAAAAAACCCCAAAGTTAGCAGAAGAAAAGAAATCATAAAAATCAGATCAGAAAGAAATGAAAAAGAAATGAAGGGAACAATAGCAAAGATCAATAAAACTAAAAGCTGGTTCTTTGAGAAGATAAACAAAATAGATAAACCATTAGCCAGACTCATCAAGAAAAAAAGAGAGAAGACTCAAATCAATAGAATTAGAAATGAAAAAGGAGAAGTAACAACTGACACTGCAGAAATACAAAAGATCATGAGAGATTACTACAAGCAAGTCTATGCCAATAAAATGGACAACCTGGAAGAAATGGACAAATTCTTAGAAATGCACAACCTGCCAAGACTGAATCAGGAAGAAATAGAAAATATGAACAGACCAGTCACAAACACTGAAATTGAAACTGTGATTAAAAATCTTCCAACAAACAAAAGCCCAGGACCAGATGGCTTCACAGGCGAATTCTATCAAACATTTAGAGGAGAGCTAACACCTATCCTTCTCAAACTCTTCTATAATATAACAGAGGGAGGAACACTCCCAAATTCCTTCTACGAGGCCACCATCACCTTGATACCAAAACCAGACAAAGACGTCACAAAGAAAGAAAACTACAGGCCAATATCACTGATGAACATAGATGCAAAAATCCTCAATGAAATACTAGCAAACAGAATCCAACAGCACATTAAAAGGA